CATCAAATCCCATAAAAGAATCCAGAAGAAGCTAGCGTAGCCTCTTGGTGTTTTCGTCCACTTACTGGTCACCGGCGCCTAGGAAATGAGCCGTCGAGATTCCTTCACAGCTTGACGTGATGGTCCATCTTTTCACTGTTCTGTCCTCACTAAGTGTTGTCCTCGTGGACGTAGACTCAGCTATCCAGACAGCTAAACACTCTCCCAATCAAAAATCCAAGGAACAGGCCGATGTGTTGAGTTGGATGATTTAATAAGGAAAAAGTGTGAAACTGTTGACAAACCAGAAATAAACCAATAAAAATGTTGCATCAGTATAAAACAACACCACATGAAATCACTCTCATGCTCAAAATGTTAAAGAAACCACATGTGAGGTGAGCTAGCTTAACCTTACTAGCTTAGGTTACACCTGCATTCAAATTAAATTCAAACTACAAACTATATCACTCTTTCACAACAATAACAATGCACACAAGTCGTTTCAGTGATAACAGACAATATTACTCACAGATGATGCCGTTTATCAACTTGTGAAGGCATGGATGGTAACAGATTAACAGAGGTGAAACTGCTTCTGGCTAGAGCTTGCAGAATAAAAAACAACCACTAGAGGGCAAACTACTAAACAGAAAATACCTAATGCCAGCACAAGATGTGTTGTAATGGAAATGCTGATTTAATGTGATGTGCGAAATGTTGTAATGGAAGCTAGATGTTTAGCAAAACCATGTTTGTATCTGAGCTAAAAGGTGAAGTCTGGGCTGTAAAATAATTTGTTGTTGTTTATAACTAGAGAGTTGTGTGTTTAAAAACCATCCAACGCAATCTGTGCCAAGTCTTCACACCCTTTGTGTGGAGGTTCTCGTTCGATCCAGGGGGTCGTGCTGGTCACTGCTGGTGGAGTGATATCAGGAACTTGTAGATAGCTCCGATAGGACCCGTCCAGTCTGAGAACCCTCCAGGTGAAGGCAGGAAGCTGGAATGCTTATTTGCGTCTAAGGCTGATGTTTGCTTGGCTCTGAAAAGAGCTGTTTGGCTGTATCAGCTGCAGCGTTGCAGAGAAGCCTTTGACTGGAGGTCAAAAGAGATGTCTCGAAGATGCTTGTTCCCTAATTGGACTATTCGAGAATCAGCTAGTATCTTATTGTAATGTGTATGAGTGTAAACAATGATTAACTTGTTAAATCAACACATACTGATCTGGTGTAGATAAGACCTGGAATGGATCATTGTAAGAGCAATATTCATTTTAAAGCCATTATTGGTTTAAGCACAAGTTATTCAAACGTTTGATTTAAACATCTGTTCATTCATCACATATGATCATTTAAGCGTATGAGTTGTAAAAGTCCTGTAGGCTTCAAGTTGAGAGTGAGGAAGACAGCAGTCTGGCTTTTACGCAGAGTGCAGGACCTTGGGAGAGAAGTCTGTCTGGATGTTTTGTCTTCTTGTATGTAAACACGTACTGAGCAGAACCTTCTGGATTTGGAGGCCAAATAGAATTTGGATTTATGTTTGTAGATGAAAGGTTATACTGAGGTCAGTTAGATGGTGAAAATTGACCCTTTTTGTACGTTACAAAGAGAGACAGACCATCATAACACTTAAGAATGTAGGTCTTTCCTACAGAGGAATTGCAAAGAAAGTCAAGGTGTCAGTGAGTACAGTTTCCTTCGCCATCAAAAGGCACTCAGGAACTGGGGCAAACTCTGACAGGAAGAGGTCTGGCAGACCCAAAGCCACAACTGCATCCGAGGACAAGTTTCTGAGAGTTAACAGCTTGCGTGGTAGTCGCCTCACAGGACAACAGCTTCAAGCACAGCTTAATAGTGGTCGTAGTAAGCAAGTCTCAGTTTCAACTGTGAAGAGAAGACTTTGAGCTGCAGGTTTGACAGGATGAGTTGCAGCAAGAAAGCCACTGCTAAAACGTGCTAAGAGGCTTGCCTGGGCCATGAAACACCACCATTGGACTACTGAAGACTGGAAGAAGGTATTATGGACTGATGAATCCAAATTTGAAAACCTTAGTTCATTACGCAGGATCTTTAAGTAAGTGTAAGGATGGTTTCACAGTGTGTTGCATCAACTGCCAAACATGGAGGAGGAAGTGTTATGGTCTGGAACTGTTCTGCTGGATCCAGGGTTGGTGACTTGTACAGAGAGGCACCCTGAACCAAAACGGCTACCACAGCATTCTCCAGCGCCATGCAGTACCCACTGGTATGCACCTAGTTGGTCAGGGGTTCATCCTACAGCAAGATAATGACCCAAAGCATTAGCCCAAGTTATGCCTGACCTACCTCAGGAAAAAAGAACAAGATGGTAAGCTTGTAAACATGGAGTGGCCAACACAGTCTCCAGACAAACCCCACCGAGCTGGTTTGGGATGAACTGGACAAACGAGTGAAAGCAAAACAACCTACAAGTACCACACATTTTTAGGAACTTCTGCAACAGATATGGGAAGAACTTTCTGAAGAATATTTGATTCTGCAGAGTCAAGTTCCTATGCTCTGGGTAGCTGGAGTGCTGGCATTAAAGCTTTTTCTGATTCTGATTTCTATTGTAGAAAGAATGCCACAAGTGTATTCAGCTGTTATATCTGCCAAAGGTGGGTCAAAAGTTTAGAATACATTTTAGCCTATAAATTGATTCCATGATTTATTTTTGAACTCCAATTGTTTATTTGTTCTATGCTTTCATTTCAGAGTACAATGTGACATTAAATACATAATTTTCAATAAAAAAACTGGAAAAATTGGGGCGTTCAAAAATTAAAAAGAACTAGTTAATTTCTGAAACAGTGAACTTAGTTCTAAATTTCTTTTAAAGGAACTCTAGCTATGAGGACGTGTATGCCTGAATAAGCCACAAGTTTTCTGTTGTACCAAACTATGTTGTTAGAAACACACAAAACATTACTGTTTATTTATAAATCTATAATATTTAGTTCATTTTTGACATACGTAGGACGCCATGTTTTCCGCACGCAATGCACTCTGGGGGCGATGACGTATATTGGTTGCACTTGGAAGAATAGCTATTGACGCTAGTGTTTGTTTACGCACTCACCGTATTAATAATGAAGTAAAATGCCGCGTTGTGCTGCTTCTGGATGTAATGTCCAGTCAGGGGGCAACAAGGGGAATGATGTGAGTTTACACACCTTTCCCACTGGCAAGAAGAGGAGAAAGCAGTGTGAAGATGCCTGTGGATGGACACAACTTCCCAAAGATCTGCGGCTGTGTTCCCAACATTTTTCTCTTGATGCGTTTGAGGCTTATGGTCAACCACAACTACTTAAAGAGATCACCAGAGCGGCTGGGTATAAGAGAAGGCGGAAACTAAATGCTTTACCGACCATTTTCCTACACAAGGAGCCTAAATGCCCTCGCAGAGACAAGAGACGCTCTCCTGAGCCGACAACCCGCTCCTGCAGCTGCTGCTTCTGTCACATTCAGCGAACCATCAGACACGCCACTCGTCATGGATGAAGCTGAACATTCACCTCTCCCACCAGTAAAACAAGATGTAAGTGTAGCAACACAGTGTTCTCCAAATATATACAGTAATATCTGCAAAAATGATTAAAGTGGTTTCACTGAATATCATCTACAAAGCACACGACAGCCCTGGATGCCGAAAATCTCCAAAATCTTTCACAAGTGAATAAGTTTTATCACACGATAGTTTACGGTTAACTTCTGCTGACAAAAATGTGAGCTCTTTACAACAAACACTCTCTCTCGTTGTTACCATGGACACATTTGCCACACACACACCACCGGTTTTGTCCTGCTCTCGGTTCATCCCGCCCTTCTTGCTCTTCATTTTGATGCTCATTTTGTGAAACATGGTCAGTGATGTCCTCATTAATGTTTCACTCTGGTTCAAAGTGAAAAGGCTGAACAGATGACATGTTGATGTCGCTGAAAAGTCACTACAGGGTCCCAAAGCCGGCCGGTGAAACCGAGGTACAACCATATGATGTTACTACCCAGAGTGCAGTGTGGCGCTAACAACAATGGCGACCTTCGAGTTAAACTATTTTTTACAAACTTTATAAAAAGGAAGACATCAAGAAGGTTTTTTACACCATTTTAATATAACTGATACTAACAATTATCTTTAAAGAACCACAAAGTTTTGTAAGCTGGGTTCCTTTGAACCCTCTCAGGCTCAAAATAAGTTTTGATAAAAGGATGAACAACTAAATCTTTCAGGGGTACTTCTGAGTAAAAAAATGCTCATGAAATACGTATGTGGAGTTACCAGGTAGGTAGGTTTTAACATTGCAAATCTGCAACACCTGCCTCCAGAGGGTTAATGGTGAACTAAAAACTGAACTAGTTTGTTTTAGTGTATGAACTGAACTTTGAACCAGTCCTTGTTAGATTACAGGTATTAGTGCACTGGACTGGAGAACATTTACAGCCCAAAAACTGGAATCTGATGTTCTGAGATACGTCTTCTGCTTATAGCCCATAAAGAGTCTCTTTAAAACAATATTTTTGGTAAGGTGCAGTCCTCAGTTTGCTTCCAGCAGCAGATTGATCTTGTAGAAGTTCTGTGGATGAATTAATCAGTGTTGAGGTGCTGTGTAATTTATATTTCGTGACAGCAGTTTCAGCTGGCTCTCTGCAGGGGCCCCTAAGGTCAAAGGTTATTCTATGAGCTAAACATCTTTCCTTCTGGAGGCCTCAGATTCACGATTTAAATTTAAATTCACAATAAAATATTTTGTTTTTAAAAATTTTGTTCTTGTGAAGCACCTTGTGATTTTTACCTCATATGTATATATTATTTTTACAAGATATAAGATTTTATATATTTTTTCTTTCCAGATGAGTCAAGTGACACTTTTTAGGCTGTAATCCTTATAAACTAAACACAACATTATATTATTTCATATACAGACACCACATTTGTTTGTTTGTTTAATATTAGTTTTGATCGAATGCATGAAGTTTCTCTCAGCTGTTCTTCTTTCGTTACAGGGTCTGAAACTGACAGTTGCAGCAGCTCAGATTATCCATACATGTCACACCATGTCATTTGGATTTCTGTTGTTTTTGCCTCCGTAACAGCCATTTTGGCTATCTACATTTTCAGGTAGAGAGATCTGGGCTTGTTTTTTGACCTAAAATAGAGATGGGCTCTATGCAACTTGTGTTGATATGCAATAAATACATCAAATATAAATGTACATGTGCAATTTCACTAGTCAGATAAAGCCAAGCTCAACTTTTTTTTTATTTGATTTCAGACACAAGGACAAATTGATGTCTAAATTTCACAAACTTCATCAGATCACCCAGCTTGGTGACCCACCTCCATCTTCACCATCCCTTCAAGCAGCTTCAGAGAGACAGACTCTGGTGACCTTTGACCCCCAGCTTTACAAGAAACGGCCACCAAGTGACACACAGGAGAAAGAAGAAAATGAGGAAAAACAACTTGTGACGGGCAGGACTGAAGCTTTGACCTTTAATAACACGAGTTATTTCTTTCTGCGGAGGGACTGATGGATGTAAATGAAACTGGTCTTTTAGACGGCTTCTACGGTTTGTTTCACAACTTTGAGATCCAGCAGGAAAATTGACTTTTTGAACAAGCTGGTGGGAAACTCAGGGACATCTTGTATAAACTGTAAATACATTTCTGAAGCACTATTTCACTCAGGAATTTACTCCGTATGACGTTTGAAGCATTTTCCTTGTTGTCCTGCAGTTGTTCCAACGATCAGCAGTTTCTAGACATCTCAACGCTCTGTTGTAAGAACACTTTTTAAGCGAGTGAATCTTACAATAACTCACAATTTGATTCCAAGTCTTGGGGTTGAAATTTTATATAGAATAAACACTCTTAGTCTAAGCCCTAGAAAAGCTGCAACACACTTTGAACTCGCTGACACACATTCACGTGGGTCATGCAGCACTCATGAGCTCAGCACTGCCGAGCAGCTTCTGGCAGGACTGAACGCTAAAACTACCTTTTCTCATTTGCACAATGATTTTTGGGTGATAATTGACCAATATTGTGTATTAATTATTTTTTCAAAGCATATATCTATTGGAACAGCAGGAACAACATTTATTTTTAAATTTCAGAGGGCCGCCAGACTGCAAACACAACATGGAAAACTCTTATGGTACATATTTATCATATTTAGATAAAATAAGTATAATTGTTTCTAGGATTTAGTACTAACTATAATCTTCAGTCTGTTGTATGTGCCTGGTGTTAGATGGAAAAGGTGCTGAATAGCACAGCTAACAAGTTTTTATGGCTTGGGGGAAACATGTGGCTGTAAATGCATCGATAATCCTGCTGATTGTGCTTCCAGCCTAACAACTAGTGTAAAATAGTAACTAATTCAATAAAATCTAAATAAAACTGTTTCTGTTCTGTCAAAATGAGTGTGAGTGAGTTGTGCAAAACCAAATAACCAAACCTTTTCTATATATTTATTTATTAAAAGCCATTTGTCATAATAACAGAAAACCATGTGGTCAGTTTAATCTGCACATTTTCAGTCAGGGATCGACATGTCTTAGTCTCAAATGCACAAGACCCGAAAAACAAACTTCTGCTTCAGTGAGCTCAACAGGCTCCAGACTTCTTCAGGACATGAGGATCCCTCTCTCTGACAACAGAACCCACAAAAGAAGACTACAACACCTTTGGCTGGAAACAGGTGTCTGCTGCTTCTTTCTTGGAGCTTCCAGATGTGGTGGATGTTCTAGAGAGACAAGCAAGTCTTTTACAACGCTGCAGTCTTTGTGTCATGATGTGCAAAGTAAAATAAGCAGCAGATTCATCAGGTTGAGATTAGGAATTACAGCTAAACATGGAAATTAAGACAACAGCAAAGAAAAACGGCATCTTGCATCCAAGGGGCCATTATGGTCTGAATTTTGTAAAGCAAACATGGAAGTGACAAATATTGCAGTTCTCCTCGCATCCACTAGGGGCTGGCACCAGAAGTGAGCAAATTGTCATTGACTCCTATGTTAAAAATGCATTTAACGTAACACTGCTTGGTCAAACAAGCTAGTGGCCCTTGTGCAAGAAAAATATATGTAACCATATATTGATGAGCAATAAATCAACGCCAAAATGTAGGAAAATCTGAGGTTTCAAAAATATATTAGACAATATACCAGCGTAATATATTGCAATATTGTCATGGTCTGAGGTATTTCCCTGCTGTCACTCCCTGTCTTTTGAGTTTTCCCTCTGCAGGTGGGCGTGTCTGGAGGTGACCAAGCTGCAGCAGATCTGCTCATCAGCTGGCCAGGGTATTTAAGCAGCTGGGAGACTCCTACACTTCGCTGGATGATTACTCTACCTGGGTACCTTCTAACAGCCACTTGTGAAACTTATTCGAGCTCTGTAACCTCTTGAGAATTAGATTTGTTTTTGGATTTTGGATTTTTGAGATTTGATGTGTTTTTGGATTTTGGATTTTTGCCTTTTTGACCTCCTGCTCTTGTTCCCAGACAAACCTACACACTCATCTTAGACTGGCAGAACTCTGGAGCCCACACCATCTGGATCTCCAACTCCGCTCGTCTCTCAGCCTCTCCCCTGGCCAGAGCCACCTCCAGCTGCCCACCTAGCCTTCCTGGACCTCCCCAAGCTCAGCTCCCTCCACGTCTCACTTCTGGATCTCAGTCCCTGCTAAGCCTCTCTACCCAGACCGGACCACTCCTCCCTCAAACCAGTTCCCACCTCTCCAGACCGTAAGTCCTCCGCACAAGTCTGATTCCCTGTTCCTTCCGCAAATTAGATCTAACTCCGATCTGTCCACAGTTTTCCCGCACCAGCTTCCCTGTGCAAGAACTCTGCTACGTTTACGCTGCTTCCTTGGTTTCCCTTCAATAAATTCTTAAACATTTTACACTGTCTCAGATCTGATTCTGTATGTCGTGGGTTAGATTTCTTCACCACAACATGACAAATATATGTAATAATACATAAGGAATTGCCGCTTTTCATATATTGGCAAATATATTCCGTAATATATTTACGTAAGTGATAGGGATGAGCGAGTACACCACTGCTCATCCCTATCTGTATATGTTCAACCATCTAAGGTATCTGTACTCGGAGTAGGTGGGACCCAAACCAGGACTGGGCGTGGTTTGGCCGGAAGTAGGTGGGGCTTCAATCTGAACATTATTTTAAGTCTGAAATTGATATGGATTGATCAGAAATTTTATGTATTTATTTGAAAACTATTTACAGAGCAGCCTCAGAATTGAGATGTAGTGTTTTTGATAACAATAGTAAAGTAACTATTACAGAACAAGTTTTTCAATAAACTTAGAACATGACTATTGTGTTTTGGCTTTATAAATAAACTTCAATTAAAATGAATATTTAAATGCATTAATGAATGCAACTGAACTCATGCAGTGGTGAATATGAAGTAGAACAAGACACAGCTTTTTAATTTGATTTTATTTTTATGATCAAACTGATTTCCAACGTTTTTTGCATTTTTTCCCCACACAAAGTTAAACAAAAGAAGAAGAAAATATCATTTCTATAGCGCCTCTCAAGATAAAAATCACAAGGCGCTTCACAAAAACAAAAAAAAGTAAAAATATAAAAAAGCGTTTCCTGTAGCAGAGCTAATGAGCATTGCATTTTTTTATTGGCCCAGGATCTTCTTCCTTTTAATTGGATTATTGATCCCCTTTATATTATATGTAACTACTTTTAAGTAGTTCATTGCTATTTTGTTTAAAAAATTTATTACCTTTTGATTGCATGTAAACACAAATAACAAAAAAATGCAATGCTCTATAGCTCTGCTACAGGAAACGCATTTATCAGAGACAGACCACCATGAACTAAAAAGAGAATGGGTAGATCAAGTATACAGTGCCTCATATGGCAACAGTAAAAAAAGAGGAGTAGCTGTATTATTTAAAAAAATGTTAATTATAATAATGAAGAGATAATCGAGGACAAAAAAGGTAGATATGTTATGGTGGTTGGCTCAGTTGCAGGGGTTAACGGTACTATTTATTTATGCACCAAATGAAGATTGCCCAAAATTTTTTGAAAAAATGGCTGAAATAATTGCGGAGAGAGGGAAAGGTCTGATTCTTATTGGGAGTAATCTCAACTGTGTAATCAACTATAAGTTAGACAAACTACCTACCTCCTCGAAACCACAAAACAGAAAATCTAAAAGTCTATCAAACATGATTAAAGAGCTGGGGCTAATAGATTGCTGGCGCCATCTACACCCAAACGAAAAAGATTTTACTTTCAACTCACAGGTACATGGAAGCGACTCAAGACTAGATTACTTCTTTACAGTTAAGAAAGACACATTTAGAATTAAAGAATGCAAAATTGAACCAATTACAATCTCAGATCATGGCCCAGTTACTATGAGGCTGGACATAGGATCAGAAACTCAGAGTAGATACTGGAGAATCAATGTATCCCTGCTAACAGATAAGCATGTAAGAGAGGAAGTGAGATCAGCCCTAATAGAATATTTTGACATGAATGATAATGGGGAGATTTCACCAACAGTGCTGTGGGATGCAGGAAAGGCTACAATAAGAGGTAAACTCATTTCAATAGGTTCTGGAATAAAGAGAGAAAGGGAGAGAAAACAGATAGAATTAGAGACAGAAATAAAAAAGTTGGAAAAGGAACATATACAAAATGGACAACAGGAAACACTGGATAATTTGAAAGATATAAGAGCTCAGCTGGACAGTCTACTAACGTATAAGGCAGAAGGAGCCCTAAGATTTATAAAAAGAAAATACTATGAAATGGGGAATAAAGCGAGTTAACTTTTAGCCTTTCAGCTAAGAAAGGCCCAAGCCAGTCGTATAATACCTAAAATTAACTCACTAAATATGAATAAGGTAGAAATGAACCCAAAAGGGATCTCAGAGGTCTTTGCAGAATATAATCATAAATTATATACAGGCCAAGCTTCGGCCTTTAAATTAGACGGGATAAAAGATTTCTATAAAACTCTTAAGTTGGATAGATTGTCAGAAGAAGAAGGTGCTAGTTTAACAGAACCAATAAAAGAGACTGAAGTTAGAAATAGTATTAATAAACTTAAAAATAATAGCTCGCCAGGCACGGATGGTTTTGCAGGGGAATACTATAAAACCTTTATTTCCGAACTTACCCCTATATTATGTAAACTATATAATTATGTATTAGACTCAGGGAATCCTCCCGATTCATGGAAAGAAGCGATTATTACAGTTCTGCATAAGGAAGGGAAAGACCCTCTCCAATGCCCCAGCTATCGCCCTATAAGCCTGCTTTGTGTAGACTATAAAATACTGACATCAATACTAGCATCTAGAATACAGATACATATAAAGAAAGTAATTAAACCAGACCAGACTGGTTTTATTTTAGGACGTCAAGGCACAAATAATGTGAGGAGAGCTTTAAACCTACAGTCAATAATGATGAAAGATAAGCAGACATCCATGCTCTTGAGCTTAGATGCAGAGAAAGCCTTCGACCAAGTAGACTGGACCTTTTTAAAATATACTCTTTTGAAAATGGGCTTTGGGAAAAAGTTTTAAGATTGGTTTAATGTTTTACATAAAAACCCAAAATCAACAGTAAGAATAAATGGTTATTGTTCAAAAATGTTTAAGGTAGAAAGAGGGGTGAGGCAGGGAGATTTGTTATCACCTGTACTTTTTGCCTTGAGAATTGAGCCACTGGCAGAGATAATTTGCCAGAACAAGTTGATTCAGGGAATACGAGACAGAGAAGGGACGGTTCATAAAATTGCTTTATTTGCAGATGATATTTTACTTTTTATAAAAAATCCAAAAATATCAGTACCAGCACTGCTTAACAATCTAGATACATATGCAGAAATCTCAGGATATAAAATAAATCAAAATAAATCAGAAGTAATGATGGTTATGGGGGCTGGCCAAAAGAACTAAATAAAATGGTATCCTTTCATAGGACTAATAAAGGGCTTAGATACCTAGGGATAGTGCTGGCACCCCGACCTACAGCTCTGTTCGAAGCAAACTACACCAGACTAATCAAACAGGTCAAGGCTGACCTGACCCGATGGATGAATCTCCCTCTATCTCTATTTGGCAGAATTGAGACCATTAAGATTAATGTTCTACCACGCTTTCTCTTTTTGTTCCAATCCCTACCCATAAGAATCCCTGCTCCAATATTTAAGACACAGAACAAAATGATCTCTCAATTTATATGGCAACATAAAAAACCAAGGGTAAGGCTTAAGACTCTTCAGCTGCCGAAAGAGAAAGGGGGACTAGCAGTGCCTAATCTGAAATATTATTATTGGGCAGCCCAATTAACAGCGATAGTTCACTGGCTGGAGGGAGATAGGGACCTAATATGGAAACAGATAGAACAAGGCAAAATTAAAGGTACAGAACTGCCAGTTTTACCAATTCTTAACCCAAAAGATATCCAGAAATTAAAAATAGACAACATAAT